CAATCTACAATGTAAAGATTTGTTTTTAGCCTCTATACTATCAACTACATGCAAAAGGAATGAGGTACAGTATCACAGACTGGTTGTCTTAAACTACCACCACTATGTGAGGAACCGTGAGATTGGTCTACAATTATGTTTTAAAGCAATTTCATTTCGGGAAGTAGATTTATAAGTCTCTCACTTAAAGGGAAATGTCAGAGTTGGAAACTTACATGCTACAATTTGGCTAGCCTTAACAAGCTCTGGCCTCTTTAGTCTAACAGGTCTGCTTACATATACATATACAGTTGACTTTACATAATAATGAACTCTTTTCTTTTATAGCCTTATAACTCTTCAATGATTTGTGGTGGCTGTGTCTTCCAGATACAGCTTATATACTTACTATCCCAAAAGGAAATTAGGTTATAAAATAGTGTGCTGAATGTCGTCAGCTCTGTTCATTGAGGGATCACAAAGTAAAATACACATGAGATGAAACACATGGCAATTTACAGTTGGAGAAAGACTGAGACAGTAAAAACTCAAGACTAGAATTACATGTTACAGATTAGAAGTCAAAGGGCTTGCATAAATTGTAGGGGCAGCCTCATTGCTCATTTACTGATTTTTTTTTTTTGGGGGGGGGGAGAAGTCATTTAGTCTTGATTGTTTTATGCCACAACCTCAAAGGGTGGCTTATATGGATAAAATAACATATTACAGGAAAAATGAAAATCTAATGAAGAAAAAATGAAGGGCTTACAAGTGAAGACCCAACAGTGCAAAATCACTGTGTCATTTACAGGATCTCTCTGCACAGACATGGCCAGGAAACTAGCATTTTGTTCTTAGAAAATAATAAAGATCTAGTATTTCAAATTCACAACTATAAAATCTGCCTATTTTTTCATGCAATTTTTCATAGCAATGTTAAGATAGGGAAATACTACATTTACCATTTATATACAAAGAAATAGAGACCCAGATAAATTAAGTAACCATCCTTAATCTTACACCTAATGAGTGGCAGAACTGGAAATTAAAACTAAGTCTTCTGACCCTCAAGCCAGTTCAGTTTCCACCACAAAGGAGAACTCAATTTAATAATAATACACACACACTTTTTTTTTGCAGATAAAAAAAGGTCCTGACAAATCTTCAAGGCAGGCCGAAACCGGTTTGGCTCAGTGGTAGAGAATCGATCTGTGGACTGACAGGTCCCAGGTTCTATTCCGGTCAAGGGCTTGTATAATACATTGGTTGCGGGCACGTCCCCAGTAGGGGGTATGCAAGAGGCAGCTGGTTGATGTTTCTCTCTCATCGACATTTCTAGCTCTCCATCTCTCTCCCTTCCTCTCTGTAAAAAATCAATAAAATATATAAAAAACAAAACAAAATAAAACAAACACACACACACACACACACACCTTCAAGGCAAATAAGCAGGTAAAAATTTAAAAGAAATTACAAACTTCCATTTGTAAGGTATAATAACATGGCTTTTAACTGACACTATTGGCAAATGTATTTTAATGAGACTTCTGAGTGTTTTTATTTAAATGCTAAAGAAGATAAAAACTAAGTACACATATACACTGAGTGGCCAGATTATAATGATCTCTGAATGCAGAATAATCTGGCCACTCAGTGTATTTGCATTTCAAATGGGTACAAAAAGTATTCTAGATTTTAGCTGGAGATCAACCATCTATTTGCCCTGAGCTTTCTATCAGCCAGTGCAAAGGGGAAAACTAATTAGGTGCACAATTTATAGTATCTTTGATATCAAATAAATGAGGTACTGAAGAGGAGTATACTGAATGGCCAGATTATTATGTGTACAGAGATCATAATAATCTGGCCACTTAGTGTGTATCCCATTAAACAGAACATATAACATGATTTGTCGTCTCCCTACACAGTCACTACTATGCTATTACCAAGCTTTACAGTGCTGTGTTTGGGTATAAGGCCTAAAGCCAATAAACTCAGAGCTTTGACTATGATGTGCTCCCTCCTGTCTCCTCAGAGAGAGATGTGTGTGTGTGTGTGTGTGTGTGTGAAGCCTTCAAAAATAAACTAATTTCAGTATTGTACAAATTAACTTTTCCCATTTTCTTGAAATCAGCACCTACCTTTTCCTAAGAAAAATGCCCTTCCCACACTCAGTGTAGGAAGGAAGTTCAAGTTGGCTGACTCCAGCCAGAACTAGCTTATTGGATCACTGCATTCCCCAGCCACAGTGATTACTTTGGAGTGGAACATGTGAGTTAAATTCGATAGGGGGTTTTATAAGAACTGCTGGGTAAAGAAAACCTCTTTTTGATGGTGATCCGATGGCAGTCTCATCACAAGGACAGAACTTGCATGAGAACACAGCAAGAGCAAAGTCTAGCAACAGAGAATGGGACTGAGTCTAATGACCTGGCTTCAGACCATGGCTTGCCTGAAGCCACACCTATATTAGGAAAAGTTGTATGGGACAGTGAATTTACACTGATTCTTAAGCCAGTTTGTGTTGAATTTTCTGTCCTTTGTTACACAGAGACCATCTATGGAGAAAGAAATATGGAACTCATATTACCAATTCAGTGCTGGTTTTATGGATTTTTAAATACTTAATAAAGTAAATAATGTAAAATCATGTAATATCAATTCAATAATACAAAAGCAATCCAAGAAGCAAAGAAATAATTAAGCAGTCAACTTTTTCATCCTAGAATTAAGGATATTACCTTGTGATCTCTAGCAAAACAAAGGTGTGAAACATTTGAGTCATTTATGCTTACATCTCCAAAGCATCCATTTCTCTCTCAGAGCAATGCCCTGAGAAATAAACCTGCTGGATTCTTCAAGTTGAAACTCATTAATGAAAATAAGTGTCAATCCTATCTAATAGAAGAGTAATATGCAAATTAACCATCACTCCTCTACAACCATAAGCCATGCCCACCAGCCAATCAGGAGCAAATATGCAAATAAACCCAACCAAGATGGCTGTGGCCATAGAAAGCAGGAGGGAGGCTTGGGTTTCCCCAGCAATGGAGAAAGCCAAGCTTTCCACCTGCCCTTGCTGGCCCAGGCCTCCACCTAGGGCTACAAAGTTTCAATTATAGGAGATACATAAGTCCTAACAGAAATGGCTGCCACCACAGAACAAGCAGAAGGCTTGGCTCCGCTCCAGGCTACAAAGTTTCAATTGTAGAAGATAAGTAAACCCCAGCTACCAGGGCCTATGCTTGGGTTGCCAGGGGGTGTGACTGGCCTGCAAACCACCACAGGCCCTTTGCCCAGGCCGCCCCACACCACAAGGGAACTTCCACCCTGATCCGGGACATCCATCAGGGCAAATCAGCCGGCCCCCACCCATGTACCAGGCCTCTATCCTATCTAATAAAAGAGTAATATGCAGATTGACCATCACTCCAACACACAAGATAGCTGCCCCCATGTGGTTGAAGATCCTGGCCCTATGTAGACACAAGATGGCCACCACAAGATGGCCAGCAGGGAAGGGCAGTTGGGAGGGACCAGGCCTGCAAGGCAGGGCAAGTTGGGAGCGATCAAGCCTGCAGGGGAGGGCAGTTGGGGGTGACCAAACTGGCAGAGGAGGTAAGTTGGGGGCGACCAGGCCTGCAGGGAAGGGTAGTTGGGAGGGATCCAGGCCTGCAAAGGAGAGCAGTTGGGGGGGGGGACCAGGCCTGCAGTGGATGGCAGGGGAGCAGCTAGGCATCAATCAGGCTGGCAGCAGAGTGGTTAGGGGGTGATCAGGCTGGCAGGCAAAAGTGGTTAAGGGCAATCAGGAAGGCTGGCAGGTGAGCAGTTGGGAGCTAGCAGTCCTGAATTGTGAGAGGGATGTCCAACTGCCCATTTAGGCCCAACCCCCATGGGATCGGGTCTAAACGGGCAGTCAGAGATCCCTCTAGGAGTCTCATATTAGAGAGAGTGCAGGCTGGGCTGAGGGAACCCCCCAGCTATAGTTATACAATAATACTTTTAACTAATACCAAAAATTCTACACTTCGACCAGCCATAGCAGTCAACATTAATAAAATCATCTGGCTTAAGTCTCTAGTTAATCAATTGCTTATAAGTGAGCATATGAAGGCAAAATTAACTAAAAGACTGTTTCTCCTTAGGAAGTATTATTACTTGAATAGAAGAAAAATTCATTTTCAAAATTTTCATTTAAATAGCCATTTGGAAACTTCAGTAGGAATAAAAGTAGGACTGAAACAAGGTCCTGGCATCTGAAATCATTCTGCATTGAATACAACCTAAATTACAGAAGTGATCCTCATATTAATGTTTTAATATGTCATATATCGATATATTAATATATGCAGTTGACCCTTGAACAACATGGCAACATGTAGTTTGATCTACACAGGTCCACTTGTTGGTGGACCTTTTCCCTAATAAATATTATAAATGTATTTTCTCTTCTTGACATTTCCTTTTGTCTAGCTTACTACACTATAAAAATGTAGTATATAACATAAAAAGATATGTTAATTGACACATTTTTATATTATTGGTAAGGTCAGCAGTGTCAATTAGTAATTATCTTTTGGGGAGTCAAAAGTTACACTGATTTTCAATGACACAGGAGGTCAGTGCCTTAACCCCCAAATTGTTCAAGAGTCAACTGTACAGAAATGTAGAATAGGCAAAAATTATGTTTTTTGTGTGTTCTTATAAAAATGCTCTTTCAGATTATACAAATGAAATTTATGACAGAATTATTTTTCTATGTCTCACTGAAAAACAGACCAAGACAAACAACCAACCACACACACACACAAAAAAATTCACTATTTCAAATCATTCCCATTAAATATTTCTTGGTGGAAAATCTTCAGGTGGATTTTAGAGAAAGAATTATTACTATGTATTACTGACAGATCACATCAAAATACTGTTTGCATTATTTCCCAGTGATGCTTTAGAGTAAACTTTGCAAGTCTACACACTAGAGAAAAATGTGTAAAAGGAACACCCACATGAACATTTACCTTCCACTGCTCTTTTGAAGAACACTTTGCAGCTGCCACAGGTTACCACCCCATAGTGGCAGCCTGAGGCCTCATCCCCACACACCAAACATATCTTGGAAGGTCTTGAGGATCCAGTAGAAACACTTCGTAAAGTAGAGCTGGGGGAAGAAAGAAAGATTTAAATAACTATACTATAATGACACCTTTGATATGCTGTACAGCTTAGGTCAAACGTTATCATAAATCATGGTTCCATAGAATAATTCAGTATGTACTGGTCACATATAAGGACTTACACAATGAAGGTAAATTCTATCAGTGGAGTCATGCTATCAACCATTCTGTAGAGCAAAGCCTCTTCTCAGTATCAAGAAATAATAAACAACCACCATTTAAGTTGCTTTCTTCCTGTCTCTGTTTTCAAAAAAAGTTTACCAAAAATTTATATTCAAGGTGGGCAGGGAGAAGAAGAGTCTTGAGCTGAGTCATCATGAAAAATATTTTTTGGCATCAAAGAACGATTATAATTATTTCTCAACTCTCTTCACCCAGACTCACATTATATATCTCAATTATGCCAGTTTAAAAAAAAAATAAACACACAAAAAATCCAACTCCTCTTTCCAAAACAATCCACTAATTAAAATTTAAAAAAAAAATCTTGTTTCTACCGCCAGCAATTTGACCCCTCCCTTGAATATTTTTTCCATATTACCTTACTTAGGTATATTTCAATTACCTCATTTTGCTTACTAGTTCAAAGGGACACAGTCAATATATTTTTAAAGCCATATATGGTAAATAGCTCAAGTATCTTTCAAGTAAGAAACTGAGAAACTGATAGGTTCTGGGCAATAGTTTTTAGGGGCAAATGTAACCCTTTAAGCAGCAATCTGTATGAATATATTTAAAAAAGAAAACGTGTGTGTGTGTGTGTGTGTGTGTATATATATATATATATATATATATATATATATATATATATAAAATAGCACAGTCTGAACAACACATTTTTAATTCTAATAAGGAATCAATTCTGTGACTGTTTAGATGTGCATTTTTTTAAAAAATCTAGCTACCCATAGTGCTGAGCAAAGTAATGAAAAATAAATATATAAAAAAACACCCAGGCTGTCCTCTAAGATAGTGGGGATGTGGACCAGTAGAGTCCGCGCCATGGTGTGGGGTAGTATGGTGGCATGTGTGGGCTCAGCCTCCAGGCCGGAAAGGGTGGGAACAGGCTAGTCAGAGAGCATTTCCGGGAAGGTGATAGCAGCCCTGAGTTTCAGAGCAGCACCAGATGACAGCCAGACCAGGAAAGAGGGCAGAGGAAGCAGTAAGTGTGATGGCACAGAGAAATTCTAGCTGGACATGCCCAGAAAACTCTGGGTGGATTGTTATGTCACCGCCTCCACCTTCCTGCAGGGCATTTGTGTCCGTGTGAACCAGTAGGCATGTGGTTAAAACAAACAAACAAACAAAAACCCACAAAAACCAAAGAAAATATACCAAAAGGATTGAATAGTTGCGATACATTATTTCTGGGTTTCAAAATAGCGGAAAATGTAATAATATTGCCGTGATCATTTAAAAAAATAACAACACAATTTTAAATGTTTAAACTCCAATCTCACTAGAAAAAGATGAAGGAACAAACTACTCAGCTGCTCAGAGCACTGTAGCATGACTGGCTTTCTAGAAAATGACTTCTTAAATCAAGGGCTAAAACAATGTTCTCCAAAGTTGTTTCTCCTTCTGAGAAAAGAGCTCTTTATTATTTTTATTACTGTCCTTTGACTTCTTTATGGCATTCAAAACATTCCATTTCAGCACCAGTGACTTCTTTAGCATGTCAGCCAGTAAAACTCAATCCATACTCTGACTCCCTCTCTTACGTTTCACAGGAAAACACGGCTTTGTAAACATTCAAAATTTAAGTTAAAATCATCATTAAAGTGTAATTGTGTGTGTGTGTGTGTGTGTGTGTGTGTGTGTTTCTCTCACAACTACAAGCATACACGGGGTTTGTATTTAACATTCTTGTGTGCCTTGGTTTTGGTCCTGATACTTAATAGTCTTCCCTTCAGTCTTTGGCACTCCCTCTTCTATTCAAACTCACTCACTTGGTGATCTCATTCCTCTCAGCTCTAAATATCATCCATTTACCTTGGACTTCCAAATGTTTATCAGCAGCGCAGACTCCTCCCTGGAATTTCAGACTCATTCATGCAACTGCCTGTTGGACGTTTCCGATATGCACCTCAAATTTAATATGTGCACAACTTTGCTGACCTTCCTCTGCCTCCAAACCTGATCTTCCCACAGACTTGCTCAACTCAGTTAATGACAATGGTTATGGGATGAATTATGTCTTCACTCAAATTCCTATCTTGAAGTTCTAGATCCTAGGAACTCAGAATGTGATCTTGTTTGGGAATAGGGTCATAGCAGATACAATTAGTTAGTGACAATTAATTAATGAATGAGGTCATTCTGGAGTAGGGTGGATCCCTAATTCAATGTAACCAGTGTCCTTTTTAAAAAGGGGCAATTGGGACACACACACACACACACACACACACACACACACAGGGAAAATGCTATGTGAAGATGATGAAGGCAGAGATGAAACCAGGGATGCTTTCAAAATCCAAAGGCTGCCAGAAAATACCAGAAGCTAGGAGAGAGGCACAGAACAGATTTTCCATCACAGCCTTTCAGAAGGAACCAATTCAGCTGACACATTAACCTTGGACTTCTAGCCTCCAGAGCTACAGAATAATGAATCTCCCTTGCTTTAGGCATCCAGTTTAGATTGTGGTATTTTGATATGCAGCTCTACGAAACTAATACAGCAACTTGGACTCACCCCTGACTCTCCTTTCTCTCACACGGCACATTTAATCTGTTATACTTAATCCACTTTACTCTCAGAATACATTCAGATTCATTTCACTTCCTGCAATTTCCCCTGGTACTACTCTTGTCCAAACTATCAACACCTCCTAGCAGATTTTGTTTCTCATCGCCCCCTTTCTCCCATGTAATAGAAATGAACCTTATTCACTCATTTGCTCAAAACCACCCACGGACTTTCCCTCACACTCAAAGCAGAAGCCAAAGCCATCTCTATGACCACAGGGCCACAATTCGGCCCCTGAGATGTCTCTGATCTCTCGCTTACATATTGCACAGTGGCCTCCTTACTAGCCTTCAAAACACAACACCTCAGTGCCTTTGCACTTGCAATCTCCCCCCCCCCCCCCGCCCCACTAGATATTCACACACACACTATATCCACCCAACCCCCGCTCTCATCTCCTTCTGGGCTTCATCAAACAACACTTTCTACATCAGAACTTCTTCACTGACCACTCTACTGACAGACCCCTTCCTTCAGTAGCTCTCCCTCTTACACGTTCTGCTTTAGTTTCCTTCCTGGTACATATCACCATCTCACATGTGGTACAGTTTGCTTCTTCTGGTTTTTTATTGTTGACCTCATCACACAAGAAAGGAAACCCAACAGGGGCCAGGGTTTTCTTTGGTGTTACCACTGTGCATGGAACTGTACCTGGTACCCAACAGGCACCTAAGAGACACTCAACTGAATGGGCGATTTCCACTAAGTGGCATCATCACAGCAATCATCATAAAACCCACCACGACATCAATTCTGAAGGCGCACTGCATTCCTTACATAAATAAATGTGATTTGTTTTTAACTGTCTGGAGTATGACAAGTATGTAGCAGAAACAAAGTAAGAGCAATTGAAGAGAAAGTCTAAGTATAAAAAAGGTGAGAAATCCAAATGAAAGCAATATATTTGCTTAATTATAAAATTAAAACAAACATGGATTATTTTTCCTTCTTGTTCACCAGCATAATCCAATGACAAAAAGGGAAAATTTGCTCCTAATTCCCTTTCATCAGTGCCTCCTTCTTCAATTTCTGGAACATTCTCCTAATGCCTCCTTTATTTTATAGTCTCTTATTTTCTTGATCACCAATACAGGCTTTCTTAGGAGTTCTCCCTTTAACTGTCTTTCTTCTTATTTCTACACTCTATCTCTTAATGACCTCTTTCACCACCCAGCTCAAATAGCTCTCCTGGTGACTAACTTTCCAGATCTTCACACCCGGCTCTCACCTCTTCCCCATGTTCCAATGTCATGTTTTCATGACCTTTACAATAACCTCTCTGATCCACATTTTATCAATTTCTGGAAGATTACTGCCATCTGCTAGTCACCAGGTTCAAGCCTTAGACCCCTCCTTAACTATCACATTTAATCAGTCACCAAGTCCTGAGCACTCCAGCCTTGCACACCCTGACATAGCTTTCACCACACAGGTGGTACACTGCTTCAGGCTCAACACCTCCAAAGGACTCTTCCTTAACCCCAGCCTCTCCTCACTCCATTCCACAGTGGCAGACAAATGAGTGTCCTGCTAAAGAGTTCTGACTCTATTGTTTCCCAGCTCAGAAATCTTCAATCATCCTTACTAAATTCCATTGTAGGATAACCTTGTAGCACCTTTAATTACCTCCTCCTAATCACCTTTCTCCTGCAGGTCCTCTCCTTCTGCCTGACCTTGTGCTTGCCACACTCCAACATCCCTGTCAAGGTGTGGATGCCAATATATATATATATATATATATATATATATATATATATATATATATATATATATATATATAAAATTTTGGAAGCCCTGTCCATCCTTCATGGATCTGTAACGTTCTCCAGCAGGGAGCACCACTGTCCTGTTGCCTGATTCATTTGCGCATCTGGCTAATGCCTCCCCTCCAGCAGTCATCACTTTTTCCCTTTACATTAGTGACCTGGGCACTTATCCTAATCCCTTGAGGGCAGAAACCATGTCCTATGCATCTCTGGGCTCTCTGCTGCCATTAGGGCAGCACTGATATTATTTATTGAATGAATGAAGCTGCATTCCTAATCTCATTACAGTAGAACATAAATTTCTAAAAGGAGATTTTATAGAAGGTCAGTTAATCAGGCCAAGGTTACAGGTTCAATTCCCATATGGTTCATTTTACTTTGCACAGAAGAATGAAAAAAAAATCAAGGGACACAGACTATTCTCAAAAGCTCAGCCAGCTGTCTCATGGACATACACATTATTATCACA